ATATAAACTATTACTCACTTTGGAAAAAATGATAATAATGCTAAAGGAAGAAAGGATAGGGCATGTCTGCCTGAGATTCTTGGATGGATTCCCTTGTAGGTGCCAGCACTGTTTTCAGTTCCGTGCTGGGAGCAGAAAGTCTCTGATGTGATTCTTGTCAAAGTTATGGAGTTGAGCTAGGGCTCTGGGCAACACAAGGGTATGTGAATAAATAAGATAGTTTCAGGAAAGGACAGTACTAAGAAGAAAGCACAGGCTGGCAGTGGGATAGAAAATGACTTTTGGCAGCATGATATTTAAACTAGAATAGCCAAAGAAGCCATGTTAGAAAAGGTCCCCCCTGAGCTGATGCATTCAAGGAAGCAGGGACAGGAAGATCAAGGAGAGGGAACAAAGACTGCGAAGCATCTTTGACAGAAACAAGCTTTCTCTCCTCCAAGAGGAAAACAAGCCAGAATGAGCAGAACCTAGGGAATAAGGGGAACTGGGAAAGGAGATAAAATCTGAAAGGAGGTTTTGGTCTGAGCCACAGCTTGCTTACTGTACTGAGCTGAGGTAAAGATTAAATCATGGCAGTGCTTCCCCTTCCAGAGCCACAGCAAAGCAGAAATCACAGTCTCATTGTGGTAATAACTGAGAGGGCCTAGTGTTTGCACACATGTGGCTGGGCGCGTCCCCAAGGCAACTCCGCTGGCATCTGCAGCTCAGTTATCAAACCCAGCAGGAAAAATCCACCCCGGGTTTCTGTCTGGCCAACCAACTCGAGAGGACTGGTCTGCAGTTCCCCCAGGTACAATGTCCTCCTGGCTAGAGAAGGATGCCTAGGTTTTGTGAAGTATAGAAGGCTGGACTCCAGCTTCACCTCCTTCATGAGGCTCCTTCCCTCACGTCTGGGGTCTTCGTGGGAGCTCGTCACTTCCTACCCCATCTAGGCCATGTTTTCAGAGTCTGCTTTGGTAAAACGTCACCCTGGGATATAAATGGTGCTGTGCTCTCTCCTGGGAGTCCCATATTTTTATCAAGAGTCAAAGTCCTGAGCCAAAGGAATGTGTCCGTCTCTGTCATCCACTACCTGTGGAGTCAGCAGGCTGAGGCAGAGCCCTGCTCGCAGGCACAGAGCCGCCATAGAGCCTCCTCCATCAGGCCACACCGCCTTGTTCAGGCAAAGCATTTCTTCCCACCCAATGCAGGCATTTGACACTTGGGAATTCATGAGAGATTCTAGAATGTGCTCCACTCTGGATAAACTTCTACTGCGCAATTCCTGCAAAAGCAGCTGAGGCAGGGGTGTGGCAGCTCTGAGTAAACTGACAGAGGGCTGGGGTATCAGCAGAAAATATTCCCATGGAAAAGAAAAGTCCAAACCCTTCCAGAAAAAGCTGCCTGGCTCAGCAGAGTGCCTTGTCATCTCACTGGCATGGTTTCTGTATTTCTTTCCTATTTCAGACCAGAAGTGAATGTCTGCACAATCTCCACGAGTTCGTTTTATCTTTTTTCAGAATGACCTAACCTTAAGTAACAAGAACACAAAAAAATCTATTCCTGTCCTTTGGCTCCTGAGTCCCTTTCTGGTGATTTGTCCTAGGTAAATACTTTCAAATATTGTCTTAAAACTTTTTTTTACAAAAAAAAAAAGAAAAAAGAATTGATAGTATATAATGGCATGAAGTAGAAACTACCCAGGTACCAAATGCCTATTTGAAGAAACACAGGCTTTAAAATGACAAAGTTCAGCAAGACATGAAAAAGTATACATGAAAGAATGTCTGCAGAAAACACTGGAAACTCAAACTGCACAAGTCAATCGTTTTCTTCCCTGGAGGTCTGCACATGACAACAAGCTGAGCTCAAGAAATATTTGAATGGAGTTTAAATACAGCCAATGTTCCTTTTCTGTGGGTGTGTGCTTATATAATGTCAGTGAAATAATCCTTGTGAAAATGCTTCCTAACTTTTAAATATTGTTCAATATAAAGCTATTCTTTCTTCAAATAGCAATAAATATTTTAGATAACTGTTCGGTCCTGTGTCAGGTGATTGGGATGGAAAATTGCTGTGTGCTGCCTGGGATTCAGGAGTGTGGGGGTCTCGTCTTGCTGAGACCTCTCCCTTGGCAGTTTCACCCCAAGAACTGGACTCTAAAACAGCACATGCTCATGCTAAAGGATCAGAGACCCATCCTGGGGTAGGACTCATCCAGGACCAGGGGACACTACCAATTAGGGCCAAAGGACCTGCCTATCCTTCTAAAAATCTATTCTCCTCCCCCGATAATAATAGGATTCTTAGTATCAAACAACAAAAATCTATTATGGATAGATCAATAATAATTGTGTTATGATCATAATTAGCATTGTATGCAAGCCCTGTGCTAGGATAGATGGTTAGAGCTTTTTAACTGTGTTATCTCTTTTTATCTGTGACCTTGAAAAGGAGGCAATTACCCTGTTAAATATTAAGTAATTGAGGTTAAGAAAGGTTGAGAAACTTGCCCTATAGCCACAAATTTAGTAAGGGGGAGAGATGATTTTCAAAGCAAGAGCTGACAGCCAAGCTCGAGGGGTCAACCATGCTGTATTACTGTGTGTACAACAAAGATCCTGCAGGAATCCACCTAGCTGGCAATGGGAACTCAACTTCCTGGGCCCCTAGCCCCCTTGATATGTCAGTGAAATTTACAGAGAGCTGGCTAGAGTTGGCTATTGACATTCACCCCAGCAAAGCTATAAAGCTGGCTTTCTGAGCATCTCCCATAGACTGGCAGCCAAGGCAGCTAAGAAGCAGAAATACTCTCAGGGCCTCAGGAAACATCTGCAAGTCCTCAAGGAGACACAACCTGCCCCCTATCACCTCTCCAGGGGACATAACAAGTCTGTCCCACGGACAGGGCGAGGACAAACATGTCACTCGTGCTTTTCAGGCCCTGTCCCTGCTCATGGAATAGTTTACTCTTCCTATACTTTTAGGATTGACCGCTTGGGAGCAGGCCCCATACTGGGCCCTGGGGTGGCAGTTGTGAAACAGGCACCACCACCACCTGCCTTCTAGGGCTTGCAGAGTGAAAGACAGAGCCAAGCAGCATTTGCCATTCAAAGCAACCAGTGCAGGAGAAGGGATGTGGTGTAAGGGGGAGAGGAGTGAACTCTGGAGTCAGAGGGACCTGTTTCTTCATGTCCCAGTTGTGTGAGTTCAGGCAAATTTCCCAATCTCTCTAGGTGGTTTTCTCATCTGGAAGAAATGTAAAATAATTATACATGTATTTTTATTGCCTAATTACCGTGAGAATTGAAAGGAACAAGTACAGCAACACTTCAATCTGCCCAGCACATGGTGGGAGCTCACTAAATTATAATTACTAGCATTAATATTGCTGGTATTATTATAAAAGGGACATATGATCTGGGCTTTGATAACTATTCAGTTGAATATTCAGAGTCTGTTGCATGAGTAGTAGGTAGGAAGGGTTTTCTGGTCAGAAGCAACAATAAGAACAGCTATGTGCAGGAGCATAGAATGATCAGGCAACATGAGTGGACCAGATACGAACCACAGAAATATTCCCATCAGGCTAAAAGGGCCTAGCAGAGGTCTTTTTCCTACTGTCCTCAAATAAAAGACCATGAGTGAGCTCTCAGTGCAAATACACAGACCAGTATTCTTGCAGGCTATGCTTCTGAACCAAAGCAGCCTCCATGCCCCTGACCTGACAGTCCACAAGGAACACAGCTGAGACTTAGACTCAAGCCTCTGACTCACCTTCTCTGGAATGAGGCTTCCCTTTGATTCTTGCTGCACAACCTTAACAAGTCACTAATCTCTCTTATCGCTCCCTCTGAAAAATGGAACAGTTATACAGGACACAG